TAGCATTTCCCTTCAGGCTTCGCTTTACCAGGATGAGAAACCTAGATCTGACTTCTGTGCGTTCTCACAAACACATAAGAGCCGTACCTGGTCAGGCCAGAGGTTTTCCAGTTTCCACTTCTGTGTAGTTCAAGGACTTCTGGAGCCAGAGATCACATGTGTGTTTAACAGTCCAAAACAGACTGTTCCTTCGTGAAATCCCTTGCGAACGCATGTATATCTGCAGCTACCACAACATCTTGTGATGAGAAGTTTCACAGCTTAACTTAATTTCCTTGTGTTTTGCGTGTGCCACCTTCTAGCCTTACGCTAGAACTAATGTTCTGGTATTGGAAAAGGCAATGAGTTATATCAATCTCTACCTGCTTTTTCCAGTATACTCATGATTTTAAAAATGCGCTTTGGTCACTTCTCTGACATCCTGAAGAATCCCAATCTTTCCAGCTGTTCTTCCTAAAATAGCTATTACATCCCTCTGATCATCCTACTTGCCCCTTTCTTTCTAGGGCATGCTAATCAAAATTGTGTATCATGTTAGACTGTGACACTTACTTCCCCACCCACTGGAAATGATTGCATCCACTGTATCAGAAAAAAAATCACATTTAGTTTTTCAATTGCTACATTATGCTAATAAGTTTAGTGAATTACAGGATGCCTAAGCCATTTGGTTTCCATGTCAAAGCAATTCTATCTGAGTTCCTGGAGTGTATGCTATCACACTCTTCATAGCTGAATTTTTAGCTCTACTACCCTATTCCTCTAAAGCGTTTCATCACTTTCACAATGATAACACCATCTTTTCCTGGAGCAGCTATCTCTCATTTTGGTTCTTTTATTCTCCCTCCCTTCTCTGTACTATGAGCACTACTATATTAATATTTTTCAAGACATTCATCAGTGTCAACCCTCCCAGGTCCCACCCTTCCTAAGTATTTCTACTCCCAAATCTTTACCAAATTCCTTTCTCCCAAATCCTGTACTAAGCCCACCACTGGTGACTTTCCATATGGCATCATATCATATACTGTCACATCAACAATTTTTCTAAACAGACAAGTAGTACAATAACCTAACCAAGAAGATACTTGATTCTTCTACGTGCTTCCACCCAGAATTTGACATACCAGTAGTCCTCCTGATGGATCTGCCCGGAACAAGCTCATTCCTTCAGAGGGCCAGTCCCGAGAGCTGTGTCCCATCCTCCTCCTTGCTTGCAGCCCATGCACCACACCGGGCTTGCCTTGCCTAGCTGAGGCTCCTCCAGCCGCTCCCTGAATGCAGACATAGTCCCACTTGCTACCCAGTCTCACCATTCTCTACATTCTCTTGTCCCAGCCTCCCCTCTCCCCATTTCAACACTGTTTTGCAACAGGCACATTTACATTTGGAGCAATATGAACACGCTTTAATCCTAGCTTGATCCTTATTGAACAGCAACCCCAGTTTTTAATAGCTATGAAGTATCAAGTTGCTTATCACCTCTGGCAAGGTTTAATTCAGCTTGACCTTTGTATTCTTGCTTTACTCGTATATATGTATTTTAGAGGTCAAGGCACGACTGAGATACTGCCACGTCTGCTCATTTTCCATACCAGGAAGAGGCAGGTAGCTATCCTGCTCTGTAGAAAAGGAGCAGAGCTATCTTACAAAGTGCCAGTTTTATGTTTTCTGTAAAACTGATTGCCCATTGAGACTGCACCCCCACCCCAAGGAGTACAAAAGCCAGTACTAGCCACAGTAAAACACAGCGACACAGCTTTGCAGGCAGTCTGAGAGCAACTCCTATATCAGGACAGCAGCAGGAGAAAGATTTAATATGCAGGTGATGGAGGATGACATGGATCAGCGAGAGACAGGTCAATACGGTAATTTTGAACTGAGGAACAGTTTATTTCTATTGCTTTCTGTATGTGAAAAGAAATACAGTTTTCACCTACGTAAATAACAAATACTACATAATCAAACACTTAATCACTCCCACTAATGTAGAAACCTTATTCTGTAAGTGACAGGTCTGTTCAGCCATCACTTTTGCCAGTGATGGCTCACTGAACACAGCTCCTTCATAAACACTGAGCAACCCTATGTAAAGAAACTCCGTCATATTTGGGAAATGGCTAACACATACTAAGTTCTTTAAGGTACAAAATTCTGTCACCATCTGTAATTTCGCAAACAGCTGAATGTTACTATTCTGGGGGGGGGGGGAAAGGAAATTTT